GTCCACACATCTTAAAGCATGCTGGCAGGGGAATTCTGGGAGTTGAAGTCCACACATCTTAACGTTTCTCAGTGTTGAGAAACACTGGTTTAAATATAAGGAAAAACTTTCTGATAGCAAGATCTGCAGTCTACCTGTAGAGGTTGTAGGTTTTCCAACTCTGGGAGTTTTTAAGAAGGGGCTAGACAGTCACTTCTCATGGGTGGTTGAATTCGTTTTCCTGCATACTGCAGAAAGTTGCTTGATCAGTGTTTTTCAACCTTGGCAACTTTAAGACATGTGGACTTCCCCTCCCAGAATTCCCCTGCCAGCATGCTTTAAGATGTGTGGACTACAGCTCCCAGAATTCCCCAGCCCACCTGCTGCCTGGGGGCTTCTGGGAGCAGAAGTCCACATGTCTTAAAGCTGCCAAGGTTGAAAAACCCAGGACGAGTTGCTCCTCAGGGTCCCTTCCCACTCTATAGCTCAATGACGTGCTTTGTTGTTTTAAATGGAGACGCAGACACTTTGCGCTCGTAAACAGAGTGCTTTTTCTCTGAGATGCAGCAGCGTTGAACGACATACAACATAAGGACAGGAGCGTTTGGAAAAAGAGCACCCTTTTTTCCCCGAGTCTGGCACTCTTCTTGGCAAACTGTCTGAACCCCGTGAAATCTTAAGCGATCCTTTGCACACAAAAGCAGACGCGATTCTTGCTCTGCAGATCCACCGGCCCCAAAGTGGGATAAACAGGAGCCTCTCTCCAGGGAGCCAAGTCGTCTTCTCTCAAACAGGGGGCAAATCTCCGTGCTTCACCACGAGGGACCACTCCCACCCTCTACAGTCGGGCTGGATGGTCCATGCAAGGTTGGGGGGGGGGAGATGGTACAGGTTGCTTGTAAATGTGGTGCCAGGACTCAAGGGCAGGGGCTTCCAACCCCCCCCCCACTGCTGAGCACTCATGGGAATTCATGCTGAGGAGGGCAGGAAGCCAAGGAGAGCATCCATTTGAAGGCCAAACCCATCCTAGATGGTCCAAAGTGTTCCAAGCAATCCTGTCTCCAGGGCAACGAGAGCCAGCTCTGTCAGCCAACTCCAGAAACGCACAATTGCTGTGATGTTTTGCATCCTTCCAGCCGTCTTTATTTCACCAAGTTCCTCTTCCGTGCACGGAACAGGAGCAAATCCAACCAGCCGTTTTCTCCTAGCATCAGGGCGCCATGAAAACGAAGACTTTTCTGGGTGGATTTCCAATTGCGGTAAAGAAAATAAAAGCATAAGGTCCTATGTTGAGGTTCTGTCGAAGCAGAGGTGTAACCCAGTGCAAAAGAGCAGTGTTTCTGTTGTCCCTGATGGCACTGAAAAGATGTTTCATCCAACGTTCAAAATGAAATCTGTCGTATTGATCCCTGGCCTGGGTTAAAAAAAAATGTACCAAGAAACCACTTTGTGTAACATGAATATTTCATTCTCACGGTTTAATGAGTTCAAGTCATCTGCACTGGCTGTAATGTTATAAGCAGAAACAGAAAAGAATCCATTCTGCATAATGGAAGCCCAGTCTGTAACCAGAATCTCGCACCTACAGCGCTGAGAAGCTGAAACATGGCAACTTTATGGGGTGGCTAATTCAAACAATCCCACAGAAGCTCTTTCCTATGTACTGTTTGTCGATTGCACCAACACCTGCTCTAACTAGACATTTGTGATAAAATCTCTTCTTGAGGTTGTACAATCCCCTTCAAAGGGACAACTCAACCAGCAGCAGCGGGTTGCATCATTCAAAACGTAGGTTATACACGAAGTATTTTCATCCATTCATTCGGGGACCAGCTAGCCACCGGGTTCATTGAATAACTCGACGTTCTAGCACAGTGTTTCTCAACCTTGGCGACTGTAAGATGGGTGGACTTCAACTCCCAGAATTCCCCAGACAGCCATGCTGTCGG